TTTTTGGACGACCGAATAGCCTCGATAGCTAGAGTAATTCGCGCTTCTTGAGTTTGAATTTCCATGGTAAATAGTTGAAGAAAACGTGTGTTGAAGTTTGAGGAGGTAGTGCCAAGGAAAAGTGATCGAATCGGTGATATGATCGACTCGCTGATAAACCACGTTATTTACTTTTTAAAAAAATAGTTTAAGTAAATATACTAATATAGTAGATCTAGCCTATTTTATCTATAGCCTTCTTTTACCTTTACCTCTTCTTCTACTACTTTAATTAGTAAAGCTTCTTTTACTTCTATTTAATCTAAATCTACTATTAAATTTACTATAAGATCTACTATAAATTTTACTTCTAGAAAAGCTACTTTAAACCTTATTAAGCTTAGTTAAAGTAGTAGTATTAAAGTAAGATTATCTTTCTTAAAGTAAGTAGCTTTCTTTAAGCTAAACTTACTTAGTTATTAGTATAAATAACTAGTTCTTTAAAAGTTCTACTATTATAGCTATTCTTAGTAAGTCTTAAATAAATATTCTTATAGATTCTATTTAAGAACCTTTAAGATAAAATATATTTTATTAGTAGTAGTTTAAGGTTAAGTACTAATATTTTTAAATTAGCTATAAAATTATTAATAGTTTTCTATTAGATTTATTACTTAAATCTATTTTAAAGTTTATATATCTTATATAAGTTAGAGATGTACTTTAATAATACTTTTATAAAGCTTTTAAATTATACTATAATAAGAGAAGTAGTCTCTAGTACTTTATTATCTAGAGAGATAGGATTTAGAACTTTTAAGCGAGAAAGTTCGTATATATTTTAGTTACTTTATATAAAAGAATAATAACTTGGCTCTTTATTCCTTATATAAGTCGTATATATAAGAATACTAAAAGTATAATCCTACTCGTAAGGTTATATTAAGTATAAAACGCTTCTAAAACTTATATAAATCGTAAATAAGTAATTTAGACTAATATATTATAATTCTATTTTCTTAGATTATATATACGATTATTAGTCTAACATTTATATAATTTAGAAGTTATCGCTACCTTTTTACTACCTTTAAAGGTTAATAGTACCTTATATTAACTAGGTACCAAGGTACCGACGTAGGAATACTAAAACTATAACTACTACCCTTGTACTATATCTAGCTAGAATCGTATATAAAATATATATAGCTCGAGTATAAATAATCTAAGTATTTTAAGCTATATTCTAGTATTCTTGTAATATAATTATAATACCTATAGCTAGTGGGGTATAGGCTTAGGGCTAGTATACCGAGAGTAGGACGTAGGCTAAGAGTAAGATTATATTATACCGAGGTACTAAGCTAAAAGTATTCGAGCTTCGTATAAGGCGTATAGCTACGCCCTAGCTATACCGAGAGCCGTATCTAAAACTACTATTACTACTACTCTCGCGCTTATATTTAGCTAGAATCGTACATAAAATATATATAAATTAGATATAAGGGCTTGTTTAGATTAAAAAAAGTTATAAATATATTTATAACTATGTTTATAATTATTCGATATAATCGCTAGAAAAAGTTACTAGCTTATTGAATATTTTTAAGTATTAGATATATTATCTAAGTATTAACTATACCTTATTATTTTACTTTATTATTATATTATTAATACTGTAAATAAGGTAAAACTTATAACTTATATATAAAGTCTTATTTTAAGCCGTATATAAACTATAAGTACTATATAAGTATATTTTATACTATAAATATTCCCTATACTATAAATACCTCCTACGTTATAAATACTACTTATACTGTAAATATATCTTATAAGTTATGTAATAGGAATAATAAGTAAATATAATATATAAATAGTAAGATCAGAAGTATCGAGGCGTATTATATATAAAAGTATTATACTTTAAGAGTTTAACTATAGAATTAATAGTACTCTATACGTATATTTAAAAATAATCGCTGGAAATAGTACTAAAAACAAGCTATTTTTTTTTATATAGCGATTATATTATAATTATATTACAATTATATTTTAAGTAAATAATACGGCCTTATATTTAGATTAGCGATTATTTTCGCGATTATATAAATAATCGCTAAAATAATCTAATCTAAATAGGCCCTAAGTATTCTTAGTATATAGACTATATTCTAGTGTTTTCGTGATACTCTTATAATATTTATAGCTTATAGGGTATAGGCTTAAGGCTAGTATACCGAG